AAAGTCCTCTAAGGCAGGGGGAGATGACATTACTATTCCCAGATTACAAAACAGAAACAAGAGGTCCCAGGAAGTAAACTTCATCAAAGCCACGTAACTATTAGACAGTGAAACTGGACTACCAATCCTAATCTGCAGATGATTTCAACGTTCCCTTTGGCTCTAAAAAGTATAAGATTTCAAAACTGTCAACTCAACTTCAAAGAAAGCCAATTTAAAATATAGAATCAGGGAGATCTAACTCAGCACCTAGGAGTATAACTTGAAATCTTTTTTTATGACACCAAGACAATTGCCAAGTTCCTATCAGCAGAAGCAGCAGCTCCTGTGTGGGCAGACCTCAATGGGAAGAGTGTGCACAACAATGCCCACTGCTTTTGGAAAGGGTTGTGGACAAAAGTCACAGGGAGCAGAGAAGAGAGTTTGGAAAGGCATGTTGCCCAGACACCCTGCCACATGGGCAAAAACAGGAAGAAAAAGAAAAATCATGGAGCCAAAATTGCTTTTAATAATGTAAAGGGCTGCGGTGCCTGGGGGGCTCAGTCGGTTAAGTGTCTGACTCTTGATGTCCACTCAGGTCATGAGCTCAGGGTCATGAGATGGAGCTCCTTGGGCTCTGCTATGAGCATGGAGTCTGCTTAAAGACTCTCTCTCTCCCTCTCCTTCTGCCCCCACTCTATCTCTCTCTCTCAAAAAAGAAAAGAAAAATGTGAAGGGCTATTACATAGGAATAGAACATATTAAGTTTGTGTTGCTCTAGTGGACAGAACATAGATCCATTGATTCAAGTGAATATAAAAATGATTTTCTAACAACCCACAAATGTACATGAGTGAAATGAATGGCCTAAGAGTTACTGAGGCCTCTGTTCTGGGAGATATTCAAGGTGACCCTGGTTAATAAAATGGAAGAGACAATCATAGTGGCTACTTATACATTTCTTGGAAGCTTATACTACCATTGTTCCTGTATTTATATTCTGATCCTATAAAAAGTCATTGGGACTGTAGGCATTAAAAGAGATGTTTGTCTAATCATTCAAATTGGAATTTGATAAATCAAATTTAAAAATATCTTTTATAGAGTACAGCACAGTTTAAACTTCCCATTTTGGGGAGGTGACAACAGTATTTACTGAAATGACTGGTGAATTTTATTTAAAAGAAGTATACTAGTTTCTGGGCGCCTGGGTGGCTCAGTTGGTTAAGCGACTGCCTTCGGCTCAGGTCATGATCCTGGAGTCCCGGGATCGAGTCCCACATCGGGCTCCCTGCTCAGCAGGGAGTCTGCTTCTCCCTCGGACCCTCCCCCCTCTCATGCTGTCTCTCATTCTCTCTCTCTCAAATAAATAAATAAAATCTTTAAAAATAAAATAAAATAAAATAAAAGAAGTATACTAGTTTCTCACAATTTACCATTTATTTTGGTAAATGGTTTAGTATTTATATATTCTGCATTATTTGTGTATTGAAGCTGAAATCTGTGGGGAAGGCAGGAGAGACAGAAGCAGTTCAAGCTTGTTTAACTTAAGTAAATACACTAAAATATAAGAATATAGTCATCAGTTCTGGATAATGGCAAAATAAGCCTTTATTCAAACATTCAGAATGCAATAAATTTCAATGTGTTATGGAATGTTTGTGTCCCCCTCAAGTTCACAGGCTAAAGCCCTCCCCACCACATAATGGCCCATTGTGACAGTATCTGGAGATGGACCCTTTGGGAGGTGATTAGGGTGACATGGGTCAGGTGGAGCCCTCAGGATGGGAGTAGTGTCTTTAGAAGAAGAGACACTGAGACTCACCTTCTGCCTCCCCCCACACCCAGCACACAGTAAGCAGAGGTTCTGTGTGCACACAGACACCTCACCAGGAACCAAAGCTAAAGCACCCTGACGTGGCAGCTGCAGGATCCAGAATGGTGAGAAAATAAGTTTCTGGTGTTTGAACCACCCAGTCTGTGCCATTTTGTTTTGGCAGTCCAAGCAAACTGAACTATTTTTAATTTTTTTAAGTCAAACTTGAAGCTGTTAAAGATAAACTGATGATCCATTAAAAATGCAAATGAACTTGGGGCACCTGGGTGGCTCAAGTCGGTTAAGCCTTGGACCCTTGATTTCAGCTCAGGTTGGGATCTCAGGGTCCTGAGATCAAGCCCCGCCTTGGGCTCTGTGCTCTGCTCGAGATTCTCTGTCTGCCCCCCACTCCCCACTCTCTCAAATAAATAAATAAATAAATAAATAAATAAAATATGTTTTTAAAAAATGCAAATGAATGTAAAGTACTAGAAGAAATCTCAAGCACAGAGTGTCATCCTCTACTGGGAACTGCAAACTCAGTTGCCCCAAGGGCCAGGCAGGGTCCACAGCAAGGAAGGGAGAGAGTGATAGACATCATTGCCATGTGTTCTGAAGCATCTCACCGTAGCATCATTCATTCTATTAGGCTCAAAAACAATTCTATTGGGATTTCTTTTTCTCATTCATAAAACTGCATCATGCATCCTTTCCATCCACTGTGTACAGCTGTCTTAGTCTAGTTTTCATATCTTCCCTTTGGACAGAGACATGGCCACAAGAAATATTTCACTTTTCTCCTAACTATAAGAAAAACAACAGCACAAGTCAATAACTGAAAATGTCATATGGTCAATGTCAGCCCAGGGAGCAGAGAGGTGGAGAGAACATGCCCAGTCTCAGAAAGATGCCTCTGCACATGGCATCACCATTGGGAGCACATGGACCAGAATTGGGAAAATTTACAATTTTTAAAGAGAGTCTGGAAATCCAGATTTTTATGTAAAATCGCCTGCTCTTTTAACTGAAACACCTAATTCAACTAAAACAATAACCATACTATGTGGACCCCACAGTGCTGTCAAAAATCGAAGCCTTATCATTTAGACCTTGAATTTGGTTGGACCAACATCACAGAAATTGTCTGTTAGTATTGTAAGAACAAATAAAAGCCAGAGAGACCAACAATAGGATTGTTGTTAAACCCTTGTTTGACTTGTTGATGGGTCTGTGGAATTCCTTAATCAGGCACTTATAACAGAATAAATAATGCATGTTTCTGGACCCTTTTTTAGTTTGGTTGAATGAGGATGGCATTACATGAATTCTTATACCATTATGTTCCTATAATCTCAGGCATAAATAGATCTCAGTTTCAAATGTACTGCATATCATTTGATTAAAATAAGACAGCCATTCCTCAAGGAAATTTCCAACAATTACCCAGGAAAGCCTCGTCTTAGCATGCTGACACTTGTAAAGTAAAAATTAGTTGTTTCATGGAAGCCCTGCTTTCATCTAGCCACGCTGCCCTGCCCAGATTCCTCTTTCTTGAAGTGCTCTCCTCAGCACTATGAGCCGCAAATCGTCTTGTCCCTCAGTTTTTAGTTTCCTTAATGCCACTGGTTTATAAAATACAAATGATGGAAAGACCATCTATTGAGTCACTGAATGCTATATTTTTAAGGCATCATGTTATAACAGATGTATATAATTGGGCCCATTTATTCTTTACAATAAATTACTCTTAACTAAAGAACATAGACACATACAAAATGATGGTTAAAATAAATCTCTGTTGTAATTCTATGAAGTCCCCCTAAAACAAATTTAAGAAGTACAAAGAACATTACTGAAAAGAAAATGTATTGGTTTTGAACAATATTTTTTTTAAAAAAGGCAGGATCATGAGATCGATATACACAAATCGAAAGAACACACCAAGTACATTATTTTAACTCTGTAACTAATGAGCGGACTAGGAAGATGCTACAGTTGGTTAGAAGTGGAATTCAAAACATGAAGCACACACATATCAGTCAAAGGGAGCAGAATCTGCCACCTCAAAATATACCTCTTGGGCATACTGATTTTTTTTTTTAGGCTGATTATTTTTGAGACTACAGACACAGGAAAATCTCAGAAAACAGAGCAGAAGTAAGGAACATTTTTGTAAGGAATATTTACAGTTATAAGGCATATCTATAAGGATGTCTCCCTCTCTGTTTCAGGAAGAGGAGCATGCTCAGTCTCTAGAAACTCTTATCAATGGAGAAGGCACTGACTTAGATCTGCATACATCCTACCCCTATTTCCTTTGCTTCTCCTGGGTGACCTCCCATTAACACCCGTGTACCATCCCTACTCCCTGCCAAGATCTGCCTTTGTCGTTTTTTTTTTTTTTAACTGGGTATTTTATTTACTTGTACTTAAACCTATAAACCAATCAGCCAAACTGGTACTATTATCATGATACATTAAAATACAAAACATCTCTCTACAAATACTAGAATAATGAACAAATTACCAGTTCTAGTAAAACATCACAAGGGACAGAGGAAATCAATGAAGCACATTATAGCTTAACCCTTCACCGTTAACAATTGAGGTTATTAACAAGAAAAGCCTCACAATCTCATAAATACAAATTATCCTTCATCACACGTCTTTGTATCTTCACTTCCTATTCTTGAGGTTAGAGTTTAGAGCCTAAAGAGATCCACATTAGGATTGTATCCAGTCAGACCTGGTGCCCCCAAGCCTGGAACAATCAGCTCCAGAACTGTGGAGAGGAATCCCGGCAGCCCCAGATCCAGTTCCAGCAAAATTCCATCAGCGATTTGGAGTCCATCTTAGAAACTTCTGGGGAAAGCCATAGTGTAATACAACAATCTGCTAAGTATTTTAGTACCCAGCAAATAATGGATTTGTTCCCAAATTACTCTGTGAACATAGAGCCTGAAGATGTGTGACGATAAGTATATTATTCAATCTCAATTTGGGCGGTGGCTGTATTACTTCTCCTAGGCTTTGTCTTTTAGGGTCCTATAGATCTCTGCCTCGATATTCTGTTTCCCATTATTATTACTGTGTCCACTGAGGGGTTACGATCGAAGTCAAAGAGGTTTCAGTATCGTTGGCTGCTATGGACAACATGATCTGCCTTTGTCTTTAACTGCAGGCGGTATTCAAGGTGATGACTTGGGCCATCAGGGAGTTACTCCGCTTTCCTGCTTTCCTGAATATCTCCCATGTATACTGGAGGTATACATGCTACGAAGCCACTTTGTTTTTCTCCTGTGAATCTTCCATTACAGGGGGTCCTAGCCAAGAACACAGAGGTATAGAGGGAAAAATTTTTTCCACTACCACACAGGTAAATTAGAAATGCTCAAATGAATTTACAAATGGATGGAAAACTGGCTTTTTTCATGGCAGTGGGGAGTGTCCCAGAATCAGTGTCCCTTCTAGAGACAGAATCATTTGCATTTCTACGGACAGAGGTCACTTTAATTACTGTCAGTTATCTGCAATTTATGTAGTTCTACCAATTCACAAAAGGACTACACAGATAACCTGGAAGATTATCCTGTAATACAAGGGAAACTGTCTTTATTTTTCCTTCCCCCATTTCTTTTTTTTTTTTTAAGATTTTATTTATTTGACAGAGAGAGGCACAGCAAGAGAGGGAACATAATCAGAGGGAGCTGCAGAGGAAGGAGCAGATCCCCAGCCAAGCAGGGAGCCCAATGTGGGGCTCGATCCCAGGATGCTAGGATCATGACCTGAGCTGAAGGCAGACACCTAACGACTGAGCCACCCAGGTGCTCCTCTTCCCCCCCCATTTCAAAATCTTTCACTGGCAGTGTCTTTCCTGACAGTGAAGGATCTCTATGTGCCTGCAGCTGATGCCCACACTCCGTGACCTGCCAGCCTGCTGGGTCCCAGTCCAGCTCAGACAGCCCCTCATGCCGACCTTCACATTAGTTTTATCTCCCTTCAAACAAGATGAACGGCGTCCATGTTACGGGATTTTATATATGTTCTTTGCTAAAACCAAATCATGGTGAAGAATCAATGGGACAACCCCCACCGCCTCCCCCCACACCCCACACATACAGGCTCTGGAGTAGGACCCTTCAGTTCTATTCCCGGAGACGACACTCTTCTGCACTGCACCATATTACGGTGAAAGTTCAGTTACGTAGCATCTGTACACTGTCCGCAGGGGAAAAAAAAGGAAAAAAAAAAAAGGATCAAAGTTTCAGATAATTCTACATTCCCTTTTTGCCAAGACCTTAAATGCTACCTGTAAGCTGAATAGAAAAGTTAGTGTGTTTTCTTTCTTTCCTTCTCTCCCTCTTTTTCTTCATTTCCTTTTCTCTTTCTTTTGAAGTCCTCTAAAGCAAACCAAGAAGAGGGGAGGGATTTGGCAATAGGTCAGTTAATTTCATAAATGTGGACAAATTAGCAAGCTGAATTGTCCAGATTGACCGTTTTGACTGATTAAATTAAATCAAGGAAATGGCCAGTTCTCCACTTTACTTGGTGGTGTAGGCAAGTACAGCCTCAGGTGTAACTATGTTGTTCCTGCTTAGAAAATCATCACCGGGAAAAGAGGTAGGGAGGAAACAGCACACAATTCCAAACACAAGCCAAGCACTAGCATCTAGTACTTTACAGTTGTCATGCCCTTTTATATTTTTAGGTTTGTTTGTACCTTTGATTTCAGCCTTTTCCTAAAAATAGAAAAAATAAATTCGCTTTATGTACCAGAAGCAAAATAAGTTTTTTTTTTTTAAATCAGGAAAATGAGGTAAGTGATATTAATTTTTTTTTAAGTAAAAAGCCAGAAACAAAGTTAATCCACAAAATTTGCCTGTGAGGTCATTGTCCTTCCTAACGGGGAGCTTCAAGGTCAACCATAATTTTCAGCAGTGGAGGGAAAGTGGAAGATACTGGCAGTTTTCAAAAGCACAGTCCCTGTGTAAGAAGCAAGCCAGCTGATTTGAAATGAAAGCGATCGCCTATAAATACTAAAGAAAATAATTTTCGGAGTTCCTCTCCGAAGGAAGACACTGTGTGTGACCTAATGACTATCATCTTTAAAAACAAGTTTCTAGGGTGGTTTCTAAAAATACCCTTCCAGATAAAGCAATATCACTGCAAAGTCTGACTTAGCAAAACGTCTTTAGGGAAAAGAGGAGAAAGGGTAGTAAATGATGTCAGATATGAAGGTCTCTGCTGACTTAACCCAGGAATCATTCTGGAACAGCTGGGGCAGCATGGGTTTTAATTTGTACCTCTTCTGTATTTTGTCTTTGTATGTCTTTGTTCAGTTTTTAAACCAAGACTTAACTCTTCTGTGTTTTTTCTTAAGTGGCTGACAAAATCAAACCCTTAAGATTACCATTGTAATCTTGCATACACCGCTGTAGAGTATCTTAATGATATCCTTAATATTCTGTCCTAACCACTGGAGAGAGAACATAGGTTTCAGTAGAACTGTTTGTCAATATCAACAAACAAGTCTTCTCTTTAATAAATTCCAAACTCTTTCTTCCTCCTGTTACCAAATTTGCCAAGTAACTAGTCTCCATTCCTCCACCTGCATTCATGTCCTGCTCTCCTGTCACCTGGTTTTTGTTGTCTGCGCACCACCAAACTCATCAGGAAACAGCCTCCCATGACCAAGGTGATGGACATTTTCCTTACTGTATACTTAAACCCTCTGGTCCTTCTGCTCCTATCGCCAACACCTTCCCTGATCCTCCTCATTACTCGTGGCTCCCTTTCTCTCTCTCTACTCATCCTGTGAAGGGCATCGTTCCCTGTGAATCCATCTTCAGCCCACACTTGTCTTAATGCTACCTAGTCAGCCAAGGGCTTAGCATGAAACAGGCGGGCAAACTCCCACAGCTTTAAATTACTGAGGAGCGTTTCTAAGGTACAATCTACGAAGGGGTAGGCAGGGGTTAGGGAAATCAACAGAGGGTAGTTGAGAACTGTGAGGCGCGCAACCCCAAGAGGACCTCAATCACCCGTAGGTCTGAAGGAGTCTGGGAAAGAGAGGTTAGGGGGACTCCCAGAGGGAGCTGTGGTCTTTGACAGAGAATTATAGTCAATCTTCAGTGATTCACTGACCCAGTAGGGGGGCAGCTCAGGAAATAAATATGTATTCACCTCATTCTATCTCCTGATTTTTCCCAGTGTCTCTCATTGGCAGACTGCAAAACCCAGAGGGCAGGAGAGCCCACTGCTTTGGTCCACTCGGGCAGTGTGGTTGGGACCAGAACAGTGACAAGGCTGATCTGAAGAACAAATAGAAGGCATGAAGCTACAATATACACTCCCTGGATGATCGCATGCATTCCTGTAATTTTGACTACAACCTATACACAGATGACCCCATACCATCAACTGCACACCAGTGGCTCCCAAAGCTGAGTGCACCTTATAATCACTTGGGAATTCTTTTTTTTTCTTATTAAAAAATAAAAACAAATAAAACCACGTCCATGTCCTATCCATGACAATTTTTATTTAGTTGATAGGAAGCTTAGCCTGGGCTTTCGTAATTTTTTAAAAGTTCCCTAATGAGCAATTATTGTTGAGAACCAATTTTTGGCCTAGTATCTGTAACATGTTTCAAGACTACTTATGCAACTGCCTGCAAAAACTCTCCCCTTGATTTCCAATATGCATTGCAACTGTACAAACGAAACATGTTATTTTCCTTCAAATAGATTTCCACCATTAACCTGTTTTTGTCTTGGTCGGTACAGTACTGTGCAGCCAGATTCTCAAAATAGAAACCTAGATTCACCAACGACCTAAAAGTTGTTCGCAGTTCTCTGGAGTCATGATGGTCTTTCTTACTGTTAGCTGCACTGCCCTTTCCTTTGTATAAGTAAACTCCGCCGCCGCCCTTAAAATGTGACTATCACCTCGAGGTGGTCACAACGGCTCTTTCACTACAACTCTTAAGGTGCTTTCAAATTTTTATTCAACATTGTTACCTACAAATGATGTTCCTAAAAGTATAATTAAATTTATCATGTGTTCCCCAAAGGAGTTATAAACCAAATTGTACACATTAAAAATCATTGACATTAATTCCAATTTATACTGATTGTGAAATAAATTAATTTTATAAATTTAAATTTATAAAAATACAAAGAAGATACTGTTTTTACATGTTTTAAGTTATTTGATAAGGTAATTATGTATACTATTTCTGCTTCAGGTAAAGAAAAGTTTTTACTGCTAAAACTGTTGAGACGCCATTGTTCTCAGTTGTGAGATCAGGAAAAAGCAGGGAAGAGATGCTTTAAGGGCAAAAGAGCTGAGGAGTGATCCACTGGGTTCTTTCTTCTGGTTTAATCCTCACCACATCAAAACTGGTTCAAGCCTGTGGTGCATTTACCCAGCAACAGGTTTCTGAAAGAGACAACAGGATAGGTAGGGGAGAACACGGCAGTCCCTCTTCATTCACGCTGAAATGTTAGCCAATCATCTAATTTCCCCCAAAATCCAACACAGCACAAGAACCTTTAGATTTATCTATTTTGTAAACCAACACTTCAAAACTATAGAGTAATTAAGAACACAGATTGATGGGAAGTAGAAAATCTTGGCATTACTCTTAATTAAAAAAAAAAAAATACTGATCCATTTAGATGCGGCATCTAAAGTAACCAAATTCAGAGAGAAAGAAAGCAGAAGGGTAGCTGACAGGCTGAGGGGAGGAGGCAGGGGAAGTTGTTACAATGGGTAGACAGTTTCAGTTTTGCAAGATGAAAATTTCTGCCTATCTGCTGCCAAACAATGTGAATATAATTAGTACTACTGAACCATGCACTTACAAATGATTTAGATGGTAAATTTTGTGTTATGGGTTTTTTACCAAAATAATCAAACAATCTTGAACAAAAAGACATCACAGCACATGGACTCTTTCCTAAATAAACCTAAACCAGTTAAGTATATCATTCAGTGGTCAAAAATTTCTGTGATGATCTTAGTTGCTCTTTTACAAATTCTGTAAGACTACATTTTTTTTTTTAATCTGAATCTCTGCTCTCTCCTATAGGACTTTCTAGAGTTTTCAGTGGCAGCAACTAGTTCTTGTTGATCTTGGTAACCCCAACACCTAGCACCATGCATACTGCACAGTAGACCCTCAAAGATGTCAAGACTGAATGAATGGGTGAATGATTCAGATTTAAAACATCAATCCATATTCCTCAGAAACTTTTACAAACACAGCTATGAATGCTTGTTCATTTGACACTTTTCATAGCTATTTCAGGCCATGATGATGTGGATAGTCACTAACCACAAACCGGAGTGGGCCTGAAGGATGTTAGGTGATTATGGATCTCCCTATAATGTCATGTTTGTTTGGTTGTTTTTTGTGAAAGCAACTGTTTCTCCAGCCATACTGAACACATGCCCCAGGCATCATTCCAGGTGATTTTACACAGTCTACTTGTTAATCTAACCTTCATGTTAACCCTAAGAGGTAACCATTCTTCTCCCAAAGAGGGAATTGAAGAACAGAGAAGAACAGAGAAGAACAGAGAAAGGTTGTCCAAGGTTACAGAACCAAAAAGTGGATGACCTTCAATTTTTTATATAAACATACTGAAAGTATAAATCAGTGTGATGAATTTTTCAAAGTAAATTCAGTGTAGTTAGAAGCAAATAAAAAAAAAAAAGATAAAGTCTCACTCTCATCCTAGAAGTTTCCCTCAGACCCCTACACCATTACACTGACCCCTAAAGGTAAACCACTTCTCACTTTTATCATGGCAGTATGCTCACGCTTGTGGTTGAATTTTAAATAAATGCCCTGTATAGAGTACAGTCTTTTGTTTCTGACTTCAGTCACTCAAGTATGTTTGAGTTTCATCATGTTGTGGGGTGTGTAGCAAGAGTTCCTTCATTTTTATTGCCTTACAGCATTCCATTCTATCGATATACCACAATTCATCCATTCTATTGTTGATGGACATCAGGACTCTCTCCCATTTAGGACTAGCCCAAATAATGCTGTCATAGTCATTTTGCACATGTCCTGTAGTGCACGTATTTATACATTTCTGCTGTATAAGTACCTTGGAGTAAAAGTATTGGGTTGTAGGACATCTTGAATTTTACTTCAAATAATTTTACTCAATTCCAGGGCTTTTGGACAACTCTGTGCATACCCTTAGGTTTTACTACAGGCCTCAGGCATAACTTAATACTTTAGCCATTTAATCATTTACAAATACATTTAACTATCTGGTGCACGTGCATGCATGTATGAGACAGAGGGAGAGAGAGAGAAGTGATAGAGCTCATTATGTATGAAGCACATGAAAGTCCTGGGGTAGAATAACAAAAATAAAACCACCCGAGCCGGTTCCTTACCTTCATGGAGCTTCACAATCCAATAGTTTGATTCAACAAGAGGCAAAAAACAAGAAGAGATTTAGCATTTCTAAAATTCCTGTCATTCAAGTCAATCGTACTAGCTTAAACAAATTGAAATGACAAAAAAATTTTTTTTGAGCATGTCAGACTCCCTTACTTTTATATAAACTGAACTATTTAATCCCACTTGTTCCCTGTTGTTAAACCCAAGAGAATCTTTATGTCTGAGGTGCTTCTTAGGGTAAATTCCCCTCAATACCAAGAACTTGGGTATTGCAGATTGCCAATGATTCAAGGTTTTCCATCATCTTAAAGAGATAGTGTAACATATTCAGTAGAAGGACCAGTAAATGGTGGGTCCAAAGAATTACAACCACCTGATTTGGTCATGGCTCTGTCACAGCCAGGATGTGTGACCTCTCATTACCCACTGGAATTTTCTGGGCCTCTGTTCCATGTGTAAAAGAATGAACGCTAAGAGATGCTTCTAGCTCATGCATTCCACACTTCAGTTTATGGCTTACGGTTCTTGGATTATTTGAATTACGATGCAAAAATTCCACTCTTAGAGAAACTATTTATAATACCCTCAACTAACAAAGTCCTTTAACAGAAAATCTGACTGGGTTCATTTTAGAATATACTGCATAATATTTTAAAATTGAAATAAACTTCTAATACTTTCAGTAACTAAAAGTCCATATGTACCTGTTAACCCATTTTATTTAATACAGATTAGGAAGGTCTAATGAGCAATTAATACCCAACTTTTCTTACTCATCATGTAATTATTTTATCATCTTTGGGATTAAATGTCTCAACCAAGGCTGCACACATTAAGTGGACAACAAAGAAACACCTAAAATTTGAATGTCAGTTACAGCACACGCATAAAAATAGTATATCCGCTTCTGTATCTTCAGCACTCATAAAGATGATTTTTCCTACATATTTTTTTTCTGGATGCCATCTTCATTCAATAAAAAACACATTTCTGAAGCATTAGTGAGAGTTGCTCTTTATGCCAGTCAGTAATTCACATCATCTGCAAAAAACATGTTTGGATCCTTCGACACCCTTTAGAGATGAAAGGAAGGAATTTTTGTGCTAAAAGGGCTTCATGTGCCCAAATCATGCAAATTCGCTCCGCCACTTCCTAAGATTTGCAGATGTGTAGATTGCTTCCGTTTTTGTTTTTGTTTTTTGTTTTTTTTAAGAGTAGGTATACAACGGTATGAATCTCAAATCAGCTTTTGTCCCACCTCACGGTTCTTCAAATGATGATAACTGATTTATTACTGAGACATTGTGAAATTCTGAATGGAGTCTAATCTTCCATTTTAATCTTTTATGAGGCGACTGGGTAAAAATAAATTACAAATGCAAAAGATGTGTGTCAGGGTATGTCTGCACACATGTTTACATAACATATGCATATATGACACAGTGATGGACATCAGACCTCTTGGAGAGTGGAGCGACTTGAAAGAAACCTTCAGATTTGGCAAAGAATAGGAAAGAAATTGTGTTTCACAAAATCTGGACAGCATCACAGGGTTCTACAAAGTGCCTGGTACATGGAAGACAATTACATGTTTTTTTATTATCACAAAATCCTGGGATCACTCTCTCTGGAAGCACATGGAATAAAGAGGGAATGTTGTAAGTTATTAGATTTCGTAGGCCTATTGTTTGCACTTATTTTTTATATAATATACATATAATGACTTCACCCATTTGAAGGGAAATCACCTTTCTAAGATACCAGAGAACCATTTAATTCTATGGAAGAAATGTTGTTTTGGAAGATATCCACCACGTCTTGGAAATAAACTGTCACTCTGTCTCCTAGTGGGTCTGTGGTGGCCCTTCAAATCACAGCCCTTTCCTTAACAAATACAAAATGATAGAATGCTGTGGGGTTTAAAAGCCACTTCAGTGAAAAATAGTAAGACCACAGTGCTTGAGTAAAAGCATGACAAACCATGTGCACGTTGGTGATACTGACTTGCCATGAGGATATGGATGAATTCTGACTGCCCAGAAGCCATCCTGGCCTGAGCAAAAGATCATAATGCCTTTGTGTTTCTTTC